TCAGAGCTGTAGTGAGAGTCGTAGTACTTTGCAACTTTGCTATTTGTTGTTCAAGCACATATTGCTTACTAGTCGTTGTTTGAATTTGTTTTGAAACATACTTTGCACTGGTGATGTTCCATGCACTTTTTCTAAAACTACTTGAAGCTACCATCCACTATGTCGAATTTTGCATTAATAACCATTTGGCTGTCTCCCTCAACACATCTGTGCAAATGATGTTGCTACTTCAAGAGAGTCACAGGTAATGTTCTGTACTTCCTTCTTTTTCCAGTGCCTGAGATTGTGTAAGTCCTTGTTGAAACCTCAGTCATTTCAGTGATGCCACCATGAGAATATAGAGAACTCTGAGTTAATTTTATATGTTGACATAATAAATGTTTTATTGCTGCTATGATTTCAGTAGCTATCATCATAGATAATTACTGCAATGATCTATGTTGAATTTACTAGAGGAACTTGAGGCATTTTTAAGTATGTTATCTCCTTGTTTTGCTTGGCAGATGCTTCAAAACATTCTCACCCAACATTTCCTATCCTCTTTCAATCCATATTTTCAAATAGCAACTAAAACTATCCTTCTGTAAACCAGGGTTTTCTGTTTTGCAACTGTAGCAAAAGTTAAAAGGGAAGGTGGAGAATTTCTCAAAAATAAACATATTTGAAAGATCTAGTAATTTTTATTATGCTTATTGGTTATACTAGGTAACAACATTTTAGAGTTGCTGCACTGTTTAAGGCTAAACTCTGTAAACACCACAAAATACAGCTTTACTGTAAAACTCCCGGAATGTTACTTTTCTGCTTATAAAATCTTCAAAGCCTACACATTTAATGTTTTTGTTTGAAAAGTAGGTCTCAATACACACTAAATAAAAATGAAATTAATATTTGCATTGAGAAACCTTTAGGAGGTTGTGATCTCAGGGACATTACAAGTAATGCTACAGAACAAAAGGTTCTTAATTGTAGGCCAAAATAAAGGTCTGTGCAAACATTTCTTTGGAAAGCCTCAGTTACAGAAAAGTTGCACTATTTTATTTATTTACTTATTTATTAATTAAGGAAAAGTAATAAAATGAAGTTACGATCTACTTTTATCATTTTGTCACTGTTTTTTTTGTTTTTTTTTTCACTCTGCTGAAACTATGGTGTGAAATACAGATGGTCAATTTAAAGAGGTGCAAATTTTTTTTTTCTTCGTGGTCTAATTGTTACTTATAATAATAAACTTTTCACATAAAAGGTGAAGGAGCCCTAGGATTCAACCAAGAAGTCACCTGACAGTGAATGGAAAAGAGGAAAGAAAGGCAAAGAATGAATTCACCAGTTTTGAGACGGGATGCTGAAAGCTAGCATTCCTAGTGTGTGGAGACCTCATTTAAATCCCTTGTGTTGTCTCTTGGTTGCCATGATAAAATTCAGCAAGATGAGTAAGTGACATCCCTGGAGGAGAAGGTGTGACTCCCTTGAAGTTGAGGGAGGAGAAGCTGCAGCTGTCTGGGGCTACACTGAATTACTCAGCAGTTTCCTGAATCCAGTTCTGGGATCTCAAGATTCCAAAGGACTAAAGATCCAGGACTAAAGGTGTGTGTCTTTAGGTGGAAAGTTCAACCTTGAAATAACTGCAAAATGAGATTTTTCCCTTGCTCACTCTTTGAGTTAGTTTTCTCAGATGTGTTGCTTGTGGTTTTGTTCATCATTTGAAATTTTCACTTTTTTAGCACTTATCTTCGTGATCAGCTGACGCTGAAGGAGCTGCATATACAGTGCAATAATTTTTCTGTAAAATAACTGATGGGTTATGAGAGATACTCAATTTGTTATTTTCTATATAAATAAATATATTTTGCATTTTGGTTACTGTTTCATACACTCCAACAGATACTTTTTGAACACTTACAAATAGCTGTGCAGGAATCTTGTAAGGCAGTTATTTGTGGCCTGAATTTTGAGAATCAACCTATTTTGAGTGGAGCTCAGATCTCTTCCCTATGCGAAATAAAATAGCTAAGGGAGCTTTTTTTTTAAAGGTAAGCCTTGAAAACCTCATAGTTCAACCTACAAGGAGGAATTAAGATACATTTTCAGTTATTTTTAACTCAATATTAGCATCTAGGAGTTATTTCTGACAAAAGCTTTGGAACAGGGACTGTTCTCTCAAATGTAGTAAACAGAAGATTTTGGAAATGATGTAAAATAATAACGAAATAACTTGCAGTATTTAAAATGAATTTACCTTCTTGCTTCCAAAATTTACTTCTTGAAACAAAACCTTTTGCAATAAGAATGTGGGTTCAATTCACAACACACAAATGTAAAGCCCAGCACATTTCAGATAAAGAAATGGAGTAATCCCCATAACTGTTGTATTCCCTCCTGTGTTTACTCACTGATATCCTGTTGAATGTTACAGGACGCAGAGGCTTCCAGAGCTTCCACAATCTCTCCTGTGCGCCTGTACAGGAAATGCATCAGTACTTGCCTTAGAAATGATGCTAACCCAATATCCCATTGTGTTGTCCTATTAGAAAACTGCCTAGCACCTGCAGGAGGAATTCTGATGAAGTTAACTTTCAAGCAGTGCAGCACAGTATCCAAGAGAGACTTAACAAACCCAAATCTGATCAGCTTCCAAATGCTGAGGTATTTTTAAATGTTTGCAGGAGAATCAAGCTGAAGCTGCCATATATTTTTATTAACAATTTTGATTTTTTTTTCAAGTAGCTTCCTGTTTAATTGGCCATCTAACAAGCCAAGAGGGATATTAAACCTTTTGAGTGTCCTAAGACAGCTTCCTCATGGTGGTTCACACAATTGACAGTGTCAAGTACAGCTACAGCTTTATCTAGAAAGTACAAATTACATCATAGTATGCTAAATCACTTTAGGACTGTTAGTCCTTTCTCTCCAGAATTTAAATAGCACCTGAATAAGGTGAGTTAGGTAGCCTATGACTTACCTCTCTATTGTGTCCTATAGCAGATCCTCTTTCTACTGCCTGGACTTGATACCTCCTGCATTTTATTTGCCAGGCTTCTCCTCCAGTCTATTGTTGGCCTGGCTGGCACGGTGTATAGTAGTGTTACTATGCACTGTATATAGTATTAAAACACAGCCAGTATAACTGTGCTGTAAGCATGTTCAAAAGCACAGTTTTACAGAATCAGAGCTCTTGAAGTACAAAAAGCATTCCTCTAGCTGATTTCAAGATCTTTCATCTTCTCTTCAGAAGCCGAGAGAAGTTGGCAGAACAATTCTGAGAATGGTGACCAGCTGAAAAACTACTTGCAGTGTCAGCCTTAAAATGTTGCTGGTGTTTGGATCTGATGAACTTGGCATCTCTTGAAAAAGCTGATGCACTGTGTTTACTTCCAGAGATCCTAAGGCACTATTCAGAATAGCATGCAGAATAGCATGTTATTTTGGCCAAATTTTCAACCTAGTTTGTTCCCCTATGTTATTTATATGCAGCTTCAACAGAGGATGTTCTCAAGTTGCTAGATTGTTAGGCAGCATGGTCTTATTTAACAAAATACCTGTGCTTTCAGTGGACCTTGCATTACACTTTAGTACCAGGTAGCAAAGCCCTTAAAATCTGGTCTCTTACAGCAAATTATTGTTGCTTTCATTGTCAGATATCTGGTTAGAACAGGTAGCTGGTGTCTGTCTACACTCTAGCCTTTGCTTTGCCACTTTTCTTATCCTAATTACTTCCAATTTCAAATTCAGCAGCTGAATTTCAGAATCTCAGAAACGGCTTACACAATGTATTCTCTACATTCTCATCCCTAAAACTGGACAGCTGGGCATTTCAAAGGCAGTAAAATATTGATAATACAGATTTCACTGAGGAGTCCATCTGGAAACAACAAAAAAAAACAACCCCTGTGGATTTGGCAAATGTCCCAGTCACTGCTGAAGATGTGTTTTTCCAAAGCAAAAAACGTTCCCAGTCAATACATGATTTTCCCCATCAGATGGTGCTCAAGGACAGATTTATTGGGCATCTCGTTCTCTAGCAGGAAAACTTTTCTTTGCTACAACCTTAAGGAAAAATCTCCTCCACAAGCTGAAGCTTGATGGACACTTTAGGAAGAGCCAGAAGTGCTACTGAATTTGTTTTCCTTTTGCAGGGAAGTAAAAGAATAAGGAAGAGACAAACTTCAAACATGAGACTTAAATGAGAGCAAGAGCTGAATGAGATGGACTACCTGGGACACAGCCTATATCACTTGCTGTTCTCTTTGTTACTGAAATTCAAATGCTCAGGGAAGCAGCTTCTGTAGGTGAATAGCTCTGGACCAGCAGCTGCAGAAAAGAGCCTGAAAAGGGTGTGATAAGCAGCAGAGGGGAAGGGAGAGAGTACCTGGGAGGAGTGCAAGTCTCAGGAGACCCGTGATTCTGCTTCACAGTGTAACCATCCTGGAGATTTGCCTTACTGCTCATCTTCTGTGGCTTTCAAAGTGTTTTGAAAAAGTAACAAAATATTGGTGTGTTTTGAAGCACGAAGAGCTTAGGACCCTATTACATCAAACATCCTCCAACTTTGTGCTTTTGCTATGGGGAGCCTAGTTTAAGTAGCAATGATCCAAGCACATGCTGCATTAACGGGCGACATGCAAAGCTGTCAGGTTCCTGAAACCCGCATTCACTGTTTAAAATTATGCCAACAAATCCAACAACAATTCTTAAAATAAGACACCTTTCCCCAGACACAAGTCAATTTATCATTAACAGCGTATGAAGGAGAAGCTCTGCAGGGAACTAACTGAAGGTTGATGTGCAACATTTTGTATTTATTTGGTCAGATTTCAGGTGGGTCTGCTATAAAACACCTAACCTAAACAGTCCAATCTGCAAAGAAGTTTCAATAACGAAATCCAAATTCAAGGCCTCTTTCTTATTCAATCATTCTGTCAGTAACACAGTGACAAAGTGCTTGCTGACAACTTTACAGCTGAAACATATTTTCCATGTAGAAAGACAATCACATTTGATTTTAAAGCTTATTAGCTTGTTTGAGCCCAGTTTTATTCCCAAACAGGAGGTGACCATTAAAGGGTAGATAAGTAACGCTTTCCACAAAATTTTTTTGAGAACAGCCATGAATATCTGACCAAGATTCCTAGGGTTGACCTAGCCATCTCTCCACAGCTTAAAGTTTGCATTTGGCAGAAATTACATACTTGGAACACAGTAAAACAATTAAAAGACATGAGCCAATAAAAGGCAAGTTTGGCATTTCAAATACGTACATGAAATGAATATCTTGGAATAGCTGTTAAGTCATCATCCCTTTTTAAGCTCATTTACCATCCCTGCCCACAAATTTTTTCAAAGAAATCTACCTTGTGATTTTAAAAGCAAATTCTGATTTTTAATAGTCCTCTCAAAAGAAGCTTAAATAAAAAAGTGAATCTTATTGCCCACAGATTTAGAAATGTGCTAATGAAAAATTATGATTTCACAGTGTACATTCTCAAATGAAAGTTACGAATCTTGTAACAAGAAGAATTAAAATGATTTTTGCATTGTGCTGAAATGTGTATCTGTGCTGAAGCAAGCTCAAAACTTAGGATAAAGTAGGACAGAAAGTGCAAATTCCTGAGACCTATTAAGTATCATTTATTTTAATGCATCCTTCCTACCCATGTGTTCTTAAGTGACTGCTATTTATGCTGGGATGAAGAAAGTCTGCGTTTCTTATGAGCGCTATTAAGGTGCACAGTGACTGCAACTGATTCCAGAGCCCCTGGAGTGCTACTTTTCTGTACAAACAAATCAGTGGGAGAGAAAGAAAGGATATCCTTCCCCTTTCATAGATGAAGAAATAAAAAGAAAATAGGATCACAAGCACGAGGGAAGGAGCTTTCTTGAGTCTCAGTGGTCCCTGACTCAAACAGGACACCGCTCAGTTTTCTATGTGCAGAGCTCCACAACTATTCTACTGCCATGTTTGCACTGCAAAGATGCTAAGGTGCAAAAAGCAATCTTGAACAGGAGAACTAGTCATCTACCTGAAGTTTCCTATTTTAGGGCTTCTGGTATACCTTTAGGTACCCTCAGCTCTTACTGACATTAGTGACAATCAAAGTCATTTAGATTTCCCTTGGTGATTTTCAGTACCGTTTTAAAAGCTACATATTGGCAAAAATTCAGAAACTAAAAGTTCAAGCTATTCAGGTCTTGTCTTTGTTGCAACTTCTATGAACTGCACATGCAATTCTCCTCCTATAGCTTGTTCCTTCTCTTCTTCCTCTGTTCCACATCATGGCTCTTCAAACAAATTGGGCTTCAGGAATATATTTATGCTTCTTACAAAGTCTATATGATAGGTGCATTGTGCAATTTTCAGTGTTACTCATATTAATGCTCTGGTCAAAACAAATATCATTTGATCATAAATAAAATCTGAAATGACACAGATTTCTGCAAAGAATCCCTTCATCACTGGACTTTCAACAGCGATTTTCACTGGATAGCTGGGTATTGAGCCTGCATGATTTGGTTCCATGAGATGATGTGATAAGGCACATTTCCATCCTATTTAATAGTGGAAATAATGTAATCAAAGCATTGCCATAAGTTATCTATAAAATAGATATTTTTATGTCTTCAGTTTTGCAATTGCTGCAGTATTCCCTTCACTTAGTTAATGGCATTGGCTTTACCCAAATGGAAATGCTTAGATCCACATTGAAGTTTGTCTTCTCTTTAATGGATCCCGTCGTCTGATCAGATAGTTTAGAATCTGAATTTGGTACATCCATGGTTTGATATCAACAGTTCAATCTTTGCTATGTTCAGTATGGCTGGTTCTCAGGCTTACTTCTCTGCCTTTCCCCTTGTGATGCCTGCCTAACTAATCGTGGTGGTGGCACAGGTCTTGCCAACCCATGGTCTGCAGTCAAATCTTCCCTGCTCAAAGTGCCAAATCTTGGTCTTGTCAGCAGCGGCTGCCTGAACCCAATGGATGGCTGAGGCAGGCTGCCTGGCTCCTGCTGCTCTCCTTGTCCATTCTGGCTTCCATCAACTTCATTCTTCCACTCCATGCTAAACTCAGAGGGTGGCCGCTGCTGTCTCAGTCTCTGCTCTCTCAAGATTTTTCCTGCTCTGGGTCTTAAATTGAGCACTGTAGTAGTGGCATCCATTTCAGAGTCACTGCTGTCACCCACTGTTAATTGAAAACAAAATAAAGATTTTAGCTGTGAAATGTTTGTGCTTCAGGAATACTCATACAACAGCATACTGAGCAGCAACAGCCATAGTAAAAAGGTTAACTGGGTTTCTTAAATTCATTCCTTTGAGATTAGGCCCAGCATCAAACACTTTAAGATTTGACTTACAAACATCCCTTTCCTCAAAACAGTGACATTTAGAAATCTTCCACTGTCAAAGGGTGCTACTCTTTTTAAGCTGACATTTCCCTAAGCTTTTCAGATCTGTCAGGACATGGAATAAATGGAATACACCTGACCCTGTGTTACTTAGGGTCTAGTCCCTAGTGGTGCCTAAGCAAGACAAAGAAATGAGATTTTTTTATCCTCACATAACAAGCCTAATCTGAGGCATTTCCAGGGACTCTAGAAAAACTGGGCTTTGGAAAAGAAGCATCAATGCTTGACCAAACAAAGGAGGGCAATTGACCAGATGAAAGGAAACATCCCATCCTTAAGATGCCAGAATGTACAGTATCAAAGGACAACCACTGTGCAAATCTCAGCTTGCCACAGACTCCTTCACCTGCTTGCAGCAGAGTAGAAAATGCCAAGGGAAAGCTGGGATAATCATTTAAGGAATGCAGTGATCACTATCAGGTAAACTAAGCTGGGAGCAATCAGGCTGTGTAGATGTGCAATATGTTTTTGCAGCAGACTAAGAAGCACAGAATATCCCAAGTTGGAAAGGATCCACGAGGATCATGGAGTCCAAATCCTGGTTCCACACGGGATCACTCAAAATTCAAATCCTGTGTCTGAGAGCAGTGTCCAAATGCTTTTTGAGCTCTGGCAGCTTGGGGCTGTAACCACTGCCTTGTTTCAGTGCCCGACTACCCACACAGTGAAGAACTTTTTCCTTTTTTTTTAATTGACCAATACCTTCAACAAAACAGGCACGTTTCAGTCACTCAATACTCATTTTAAGAATTATTTATGAATGACTCAAATTTGTTCTCAGATTTAAGTCAGATATGGATTTCAAACAAATCAAAGCAAAGAATAGCACATTGTGCAACTGTCATAAGCACAGCTTCCATTAGTAGCCTGCATATTATTTCTTTTTAAAAGGTGAGAAAGAGGTCAACAAAACCTATCACCACATAGTTATCCATTCACCCAGATAATTTTATATCAAGGAAGGTCTTCATCAGATTATGTTTGCAGGCTTTTTTCCTCCTAGATATATCAAACTGTACATTTTTTTGACAATTGAATAATCTGGAGGCACATTTCCTTTTTAGTATTTAATGCTAGGTGACAGTAGGTGACCTCTGTAGACATAACTACAGAATAAAAGACATCCTGCACTCAGGAGAGCAAAGATTTAATTAGCAATAGACAAAGACATAGTCTATTGCTAAATTAATTTGGAAGAGTGGGAAATTAATTGGTCTGGGGTGTGGTCAGGGAATTTTAGTGAGTGTGTAGAGATTTAATCCCACCAAGAGACTGTTCCTGTTCATGGCATAAGCGTGGTCATGCAAATGGTAACAAGCAAAAGTAATGTACAAAACTAATCAAACTTTTCACATTAGATAGTTGCATTCCTCTGGATTTTTATTTTTATTTTTTAATTTTATAATTCAAGAACTCCAAAATGACACATTAGTGAGTTTAGGCATAAAAAAAAAAAGACTTTTAGGTTGTTAAGCAGAGAATTTTGAAGATTTCTATGTGAGATCTATATATCACTCATCACATACTCATTTTCCTCACTGTTTTGGTTCTCAGGGCACTGCCTACTCTGACCTCAGTGAGAAAAGAAACCACATAGGGTCATAATCTAAGAGGTAGATTTGGATATTACCCAATAAAGATACAAAGAATCAGCAATTCTGGTGCAAATGTTTTAGGCTAAGGACTCCACAGGACTGTTTGTTGGGGCATTTCTTCACAATAAAATACGTGTTTTAGTACAAGTGCTAGAAAAATTCTAGCCCTTGCAGATAAAGTAGTTCATATCTTTTAGAAATTGAAATACTAATTCCTGTACATCATCCCTGGAAAAACCTTCCTTTTATGTAGGCAAAATGAGTGCAGCACACAAGAGGGCAAAAAATTTTCCATTACCTCTGGAAGATGTTTTGTTTCTCACACGTAGTTTCTCTGGGAGCTTAGTGTTTTTAGGAAGTGAAAGAAATCTTTTTGTATTTGCAGCAGCCTGTGCAAAGAATAACAGAATCATTAAGACACAGCAGACTGAAGTACTTGCATAATGCATGTTGAGATACACAGCTGAGGCTTGAATAGGCTTACGTAGCTCAAGGGCTCACAAGTAGTTTGGGATTAGCTAATATGTGATCTTTTATTACATACTTAAGTTAACACTTACTGCTGGTTGAGGTCTTTACTAACTAAGGTAAGGACTGAGTAATCTCAAGCAGTTCAATCAAAGCAAAACCTACTGCTGTGCCCTCTGAGATCAGAGTTAATAAATGTATGCTCTCAGACTCTAGCTTTACCTGCACGGGTTTTTCAGTGGAAGGCAAACATAGCTTCATTTTGTGCAGTTCTGTTTTGGAACTTTATTACTCAGCTGGAAAAATTAGGCTGAGACTGAAGCTCGGGCACAAAAGCTAATCTGTATTCTACCCCCACAAATGTTTTATACATACAAATGACTTTACACAGTTGATTAATCCCGCTCAGGATGATGGGGAAGCTGGGCACCAGTGTGACTGTTTACCAGCACAGGTCACAGAAGCCTTGTTTTCCCAAGTTTAAACTCTGCAGTCTCTAGGTACAGAGTGCACCTCATGCTTCCTGGAACATATGAGGTTCTTTCCAGGACAGGACCATTCTTAAAAATTTAGAAATTTCTTAAGGGTATCCTTCCTTTGATGATCAGAGGGCTGCAGCACCTCTCCTACAAGGAAAGGATGAAGGACTGGGATTGTTTAGCTTGGAGAAGAGAAGGCAGACCTCATGGCAGCCTTCCAGTAATCTAAGGAAGCATATGAACAGGAGGGGGAATGGCTGTTTATGAGGGTAGATAGTGATAGGACAAGGGGGAATGGTTTTAAACTGTGACAGAGGACATTTAGGTTAGATATTAGGAGGAAGTTTTTCACACAGAGGGTGGTGACGCACTGGAACAGGTTGCCCAAGGAAGCTGTGGATGCCCCATCTCTGGAAGCATTCAAGGCTGGATGTGGCTCTGGGCAGCCTGGTCTGGTGGTTGGCGACCCTGCATGTAGCAGGAGGGTTGAAACTGGATGATCATTTACTCAAGGACAATTATTTTTAAAATTACAGTCTGTGAGTTTGAAAAAGCTGACATACACCACCTCTCTCTCAGACCCAAAAAAATGCCTTACTCCTGCCAAGCCTCTTCATTACTCCCCCTAAAAAATCAATATAAGTAACTGTGGTTGAGAAGGAAAAAAATCATTCAGAAACAGACTTACTGTTACAACTAATGCCACAGGTAACCCAGGTAATGGTCACAAATGAGATATAACATTTATTGTGGACATCAGCAGCAGCAGCCTCAGTAGCTAAAGGACAACTGCATCAGTGAAGGTAGAGGTCACTAAGTGTTCCTGCAACTTGAAAATACCTATTTATAGGGGGATTAATTTCCTTCAGAGTTAAAAGGGGGGCTTCGGATTTACTGTTTAATCAGTGTGCTCTTTTCAAAAACAGTCTGATATAAAAGGACTGCTTCAGAAAGTCAGATGTCACCATGACACACCATTTCTTGCATATTGTAGTGGTTTTCATATCCTGTGTCAAAACCTGAAGCACTGGCCACTTTTTAAGATTCCTAAGGAGCCCACAGCATTTTTCAAATGAAGTGTTCACACTTTTTGGTGTGACCAGAAGCTCTCCTCCTTCCCACATTTTGGAGCGTACTGCAAGGAATTTGTTTATCTCAAAGCTATACTCTACCTCAGTCATCAACTCTTCATCAGAATTCTGATAGAGAATTCTCACCATGCCATAGAGCTACATTGGGTATGAAGCTTTCTCAGTTCCTCTGAGATAAAATCATGGCAGCAGATCCCACTTCCATATTACATTCTACAATATGGAAGCTTTTCAGAAGGGTTCAATGCAAACTAAGGGGCCTATGTGTGCATTTCAGGGTGTAAGTGCGACATTATACATGCAGCTGTCTTTCAAGTTGGGGATTTATTTTTCCTGCATTTCAGAAGATTTTTTCTGCATGGCATATAGCTATGGAGAACTGTTTTCTATAAATCAACTAAAGGGCAAATACCGGTCTTTCTCTTGACAGGCTGTTAGTTTTCCGCAGGCTCTCCCTAAGGCTGTGTCGGCGACGGATCAGAATTTCTTTGGCCTGCTTCTCATTTGCATCTGCAGCCAGGCTATGTCGGTTATATGACATGGTCTGAAATAGAAAAGCTGTGGTTACTTTCTGAAAAGCACAAATGTGTTGATCTCTATGCACATTACAAAACAGGCCTTTTTGCTTTGTTATTTTAATAATTACCATAAAGTCTTGCAAATAAAGTCACGTTAAAGACAATTAAGAACAAGGGCAATAACTACGCCAGATTTTTTTTTAGTCAGAGGCTTCATGAGCACCTGTTTGTTTTTTAAGCCTGCCAATATTTATAACGAAAGAGCAGTTGGAAAAAGCTGGCTTAATACAGTGCTTATCCCCACGTTGTACTTGCTCAGTCAATATGCCAATGGAGGATGCACATTTGAAAGTGATAGGGTGAGTCACCTAGGGGGAAGTCATTTTTACCTCCAGCAAGCTGAGACAAGCTCAACTTTTGAACGTCTTCCAAGGGCACAGACATTCAAACTACTTAGCCACAGGATGGTTTTTGTGAAATGTCCTTTTGCTTTTATTTCACTATTTTTCCAGCTCATCACCTCTGCTTTTAATACAAGCAACTTCACAACTGGAGGCAAATGAGAAATCTAATCGCATATTGTAAAGTGAACAAAAAACTAATAGAAGTGGGACAAGATTGGGTCGAATTTGCACCTATGATCCTTTTTAAGTAATGGAAGTATGTTGCAGATAATATGCAAAAACATTAAGCTTTATCAACAGTATAAAATGAAATAAGCTGTTTACATGAAGGAGTATGCATATGTTGCTGAAAATGTTATAGACATTTATTCATAGGCAATAGAAGTAAATAACAGCATTAAATGGTACATATTGTACAGCAGAAACTACACTTGCCCAAAGATATTTAATGAAGGTAAGAAGTATAGTTGAAGAGTAGAGGGATATTTACGTATGCAAAACTTTATTCTTACTCGATGACGTATTTGGTAGAGATTCTTTGTTAGTATTTCCCGCATGTTTTCCATCTCAGTGGGGGAGAGTGGCTTTATTTTCCCTTCATGATATTCACTGTGGAAGAATAAAACCCAGGAAGATACACAAAAAAAATGAGAAAGAGAGAATATTTTTGTTTTTATGATTAGAAATTACATTTTAACTGTTTCTTTTGTATTGGAAACAGCATTCTAAAACAACTGAGGAAAAGGTGAAAATGTAGTGGGTGAGAACAAAACCTTGATCTCATTTGACTCAAGTGATAAGGGTCAAAACCGACCCTCTGAAATCTGTATCGATTGCACAGAGCTGTAAATTCGACTAAGGCACTTTTCACATCCTTCAGGCTCCCCTGTAGCTCCTGGCAGCAGATGTGCAGGCACTGGATCAAACCCAGTTCAGCCCCACATAGCACAGCAATGTTCTCTGGAAGCTGGATGCAGCTGCCCCTGAAAAACTACACGCTCCGGAAGAGCAAGGCTCACTCATGCTTTGTATGTGAGCTGCGGCAAAATGATCCAGTTCCACGTCTGGTTACTGTTCATGTGATATTAGGACACAGAATGTCCTAAGTCAAAGCAATTATCCTGCCTACGGACCAGACTGTGAAGTACACAATGTGGCCCTGCTGTAACACTGAGTTGAAAAGGCCTGTCTGCCTTACCTGAGAGACACTGATGAAGGCACCTTGCTTATCATGCCACTCTCTGCCATCTCGATGGCATGCTTTATTTCCAGCTTCTTGTACAAAGAAACAATGCTGGATTTGGGCTGGTTCTCCCGGATGAGAAGTCTTCGCAGGTATTTATTGTCAAACTTTTTAAACCTGTGCATGAAGCAAACCAACCCAACCAGTTAATTTTTACTAGGCAGAGCTGAGGAATGTTTCCATACTGTTGCTAAAGCAATCGTGAAGGATTTTATTCCTCCGGAATGTGTCTGTTCATATTTGTAACTTACTGCTGGGTATCATAATAAAAGGTCAAATTCATCCTTGCTTCAGATAGTCTTAACCTATGTTTTGGTTAATCTGCTAAAGCACAGTGTCCCTAGCAGCAACTTTTAGCTTCTATGTACTCTGTGCTATTGCACAATATTATTTCTAATTCTCCATTTTCATGGAGACAAAGGGAACATTAAATATTTACTGTAATAACAAATAAAAGATCTACGTTTGCACCCACTGCTTTTTCTTTGAAACTTTAGCCTGCCCTTGTAAAATTTTGAAAGTTCTCCTTTTATTTAGAGCAACTTCAGCCCTCTTGGATGCTTAGTGAAAAAATATTGATTGGAGCAGAGTGACTTTGTTTGTCAGAAAATATCCTGCACTCCAGTCATTCTGAAATTATTCTTGAAATTCAGTCAAAAATGTTTCAGAAGGTCACGAAGAGGTGGTACCCTCCTTCAGTCTGTAATCTGTTGGTTAAAGATCTCACACAAACTGGTGGAGAACCAAGCTAAGAAAAGCTGTAGCCATGTCATCCATCTGTCAGGACAGCATCTTCAGCCATGCCCTCAAGTCATTTGGAGAGGGATCCTCAGACTCTGCTGCTGATGCTGTTTCTCTTTGTATAAAATGCTTAAATTCTTGTCAGAGCAATGACCAGAAGGTGGGTGAGCAATGCCCTTGCTTTGTTTCTGAAGGATTTGGGTGAAAAAGAATGTGCTTCTGAGAAATGGGAGTAAGATCCAAACAAACAATGATGATGATTCAGCAGCTCAACTGCACACATAAATAATTCAGGTATAGCCACTGGTAATCCTCTTAACTGATGCTGAGTTTTAAATAATACCATCAGCAACTGTGGAGCTGCCTGCCATTAGGATCCCTCATGCACCTCATGCCAGCCAGTGCCTTGATCTTCCTAGCGGAAGTCCCAGAGCTTTCGCTTGTTTCTCATCAGCTAGGGAACTAACCCCTCACTTAACACCACGGAGACAGATAGTTTGCAGCAGGAAAGCCAGCTCAGGATCAAAAGCTCAGCAGACATGCAGGAAATGCTCTGAAACCGTCAGAAACAGTGAGATTACCCACACCCTCAGAAGGTAGAATAATCTACCCTGGGACCAAAGGGCTGTGCTTTTTCCCAGCTGGAAATTTTGTACTACTTGCTTGTGGTTTAGTTAAAAAGACATTGTTTTACCGCTCTCTCTTTGTAACCCACGCGTTCTAAAAACAACCATCTGCGTTCAAGAATAAAATGCTGAAAACGAAATCTGATGCCCAGCAGCTTTAGTTTGTTGCTGCAGAGCCAGTTCATTCTTCCCTTTATAACAAAGAGAGAGTTTTAAATGCCGTTCTTACTTATCTCTCCAGAAGTTGTGACCCCAATGTCCACACACATCTTCAATTCCTGTCTTCACGTGATCAAAGAACTAAATAAGAAATGTTGATCCATTACATAAATATATGGATATAATTTGGCTTACCATTAGACTTTAATTTTCAACTTACTTCGAAACAGAAAAGTCAAGGCAGAGTTCAGGACGATGCTTAACTAAATGCAGTCTAAGCAAATAAGCATGAGCCTGGCTTACAGATATTGAAAGGGGTCAGTTTTTCCCTCACTCACATGCCCAGGGGGACACCTGGTTCCTGCTCTCCCCTGGAGCTCATAGACCCAGAAAGACAGAAGCCAATCTCTACAACATCAAACTTGCTGAGCTCCTGACTAAATCTGGAGTTGTTTTTGCCATATTTTCATTTCTTTCAAGTTCTCCAATTGCTTGGATCTAAGCCTGGAACTTCTCCAGGGACTTCCCCAGGTTTGGCAGTCAGTCAGGTGTGACTTTGTGGAGGAGACAGCCCAAGTGGGTAGCCAGTACTGCCCTTCTGTATGCACAGGACAGATCTGCCATAACCAACATCCCGAGCTCCTGTTTCAGGGTACTGTGGTCCAGCCTCACCTCAAAATGTCCTGAGCAACTGGTATTAGAACCACATTCTTCTTCAGTTTTTTTACCAGTTACAAAAGGGTAAATCAATTCAGCTAAGATCTCACTGGATACTCACAGCAGCTCACAGCCAACTGTGCTCTTGATTCAAGTACCACAGCAGGGGTCTCTAAATTTCAGGGGGAAATCCTGCTAGATATATTGAAAGGGTAAGCTCAGAAACGACTGACTTTTTGGGTGCCTAGATTCGGTTCTCTACTGGATGTGACCCTTATTATTCCTCATTTTTGTAGTTTAAAAATCACTGGGTTTTTGCAGCTGATTTGCTGCAAGGATAATTACATTCAAGAAAATGCACAGCTAATGAACCACCATCATTAGAGACATGCATTCAAAACACAAATCTATTAAGACACTGATGATGTGAGAGTTCAGGAAGTTTAAATGCGTCTTTAGGAGGATTTTACATGTGTTTAATTAGACTCGCTCAACTATAATGTAATGTAATTAAATTGCCAAAGGTTTCTCAACGTAGTCAAGTTCTAAAATAACACAGATCTCCTATGTGAAGCAGATTACAAAAAGACAATTTACCTCAACAAGTGAGCAACACCAAGTGAAGATCTCAAATTAAAAAATACCGAATAATGATAATTTTGATACTTATCAAGAGTAAAATATAAACTTTGTGGTTGTTTTGATTAAAACAGATTTAGAAAAGAAATCTTAAAGAATGCATGTTTCTCTGTAATGCTGTGCGTTAAATCCTTATCATATTGAAAGCCATTGGGAATTTCATCTCTATGAAGGTTTCATCTGTGACAATGAAGCTACAACATACCCTGTTGTAAATTTCTTCGCTGACAGCAGGCTGCTTTTTATTTGACCTTTTGACATCAAGAAACTCCACCAACGGACGAATTGTTATTCCCTGTGAAGAAAAAAGCAAATCTTTCTGTGTTTTTCCATAAACATTAAGGAAGAACAAAACCTTTCAATCTTCTCCATCTCTGTCAGAGCAGTGAAAATGGCAGAGGATAACATTTTAGCTCCTAAAATTTTTCTTTTAGCTCCCAAAAATCCAGTCTGACAATCCTAATAGCAAATAATTCTTGTAATAAGCAGGTGTTGCACACAGTTGCAAAGTTCTTGTCAACACACAAACTCCACTGATACAACAGAAGAAAAGAAAGTCCCACTGTCTAAAAGCAGAGAGGCTCAAGATGAGTAAATGACGTACTGCTAATGGGATTTGTGTTGAGTAACCTTCAGGTAGCCTCAACAGTGGCACAGACCAGACCCAGTACACAAAGACTTTTGGTAAATACTTATCCATACTACACAGTTCTCAGAGAAAGAACAAAAGTTTTGGCTGACCCAGAAGGATATAATGATTTTTGAACAATTATTTGTGGAAGAATCGACATCACCGTTTACTTGTACAGGCGTACCGACAGAGGAGAGAAATCTCATCATGTTGAGATCAGTCCCCACTATCCAAGACAACTGTGCCCTGTACTTGTTTTCATAAACAAATTAAACTTTATCTCAAAAATAGTTAGGTTTCTTTGCCCCATTGCTCACGTGGAACACTTCTCCTGAACCTCATTGTTCTGATAATTAGAAAGCTGCCTCTTAATTACACCATGGTCACTTTGTACTACTTTGTTCTTCTGCCAACATTGTGTTTTTAGCTTAAACAGTGCTCCTCCTTCCCTGATGTTCACTCCCTGATATAAACAGTAATTACATTCCCTCTTCTCCTTCATTTTGCCAAGACCGAGACATTCTGGTCTTCTTTCACACAAGCTTACCAGTCCAATGTGATTACTCTAGAACACAGCTCTGTTCTCTGTTGGAAACACCTGTCTCAATACATCTTTTTAATGCCTGGAGTGCATTGGTGGCTTAAGCTCCAGCACATTATCAACCAATGCACCTGTGTCTTTTTCCCTTTTTATTCTTTTTCCAAATGAGAGGTGCCTATTTATTTATTAAAGTTAAGAATGTCCTAGAAAGAACAACACTTGCACATGCTGCTATTAAAGTTCATTCTATTTCCATCATATTGGTCCCCATTTACTCTTTTCTTTCTAGTTAATGCTTCATGTTGTTAATGCTTTAATGCCATCATGTTGCCACCTTCCAAGGCCCGTCATTAAGAAACATCAGCACCAAAAAACTCCTATGTTATGGTCAGTAACAACAATATTAAACAAAACCATCCCCTGGAATCACCTTTTGAGGAATTCTGTCAACAACAACTCATCAGCCTATTATTTCATGAGGGTGGTTGAGCACTGAAGCAGCTGCCAAGAGAGGCTGGGGAATCTCCATTCATGGAGATACTTAATAAAACTGGCCATCTTCATGAGTAAGTCAATCTTGTTTTGCAGATGGCCTTGTTCTGGGCATGAGGTTGCACTAGACATCCTCAGACCCAAACTGCCCTATATGTCTATTTCCCTTTATAGGAGAAATTGCTAGCTCCTTCCTCACTTCCTCATTCACTTTGCAATCACCTGAAAGCCAAGCTAAACCTATGTGTTACTAACAGTTAAGCTAATAATCTCCTGTACAGCTCCCCTGTCTTCCACCTCATCCCTAAAAAAATAAAATAAAATAAAAAAATTAAAAAAAGGGAAACTTTTACAATAATCTAGTTTTATGAGATTACTCTCAAATTTCTTTATCAAAGAATGATATCAGGTTTCTCTTTAGTAAACCCCAATGCATTTCATAACACATTCCTGATACATCCACATTTTAAAGTATTCTATCCTTCGAAGTCAGTGTTCACTTCCTTCTTCTCATTCCTCCTGTTCATTCAGGCCAGTTCTCCATGACCAATGTGATACCAAAGATCTGTTCTTCACGTTCTTTCACATCAGTGGTGCTTTTGAATGGACATTCAACTGGTATTCAATATTACTGCTTAACACCCAGATTAAAATATTGCAGTTCACTTTTCAGTGCCCTTAAGTGCTTTCCATTCCTCTTTCCACTCTTCTCTGCACCCAATACCCAGCTCCTTAGTAAACATACAACTTAAATATTCTAACAAGGAATTAGTACTGGGGCTTTACCCAGATTATCTTTAATCCCTACTCCAACCTCATTGGGTCCTAAATGCTTAATACTACTTAAATATTCACCTAAGTACTTAATATCTGACATAGTTTTGCTATCTGTCCGCTGACTGCATAGCTTTTTTTTCTTAAGTATGACCATGGAGCAATATAGAAGCATGTTACTTCAAGTACATTCCTTCCAGTAATTTAGGACATCTATTTTTCTACCCACAGCTTATTTACATCTTGCCTGAGAAAGAAAAGGTCCAGAAGAGGAAAGGCATTACCTGAATAAAAACGGTAAAAAATATCACCACGATAACAGCAGTGATGAACAATTTCTTCCTGGGGAACACAGAAGGAGGAAGCAGAAATACAAGTGAAAAGCAAATAGCTCCTCGAAGGCCTCCATAGGCAATAATAAATTGGTCCTTAAAAGTGAGAGGTATTGTCCGGAACACGTTAATGATCTGAGTCAGAACAAAAACACCTGAGGAAAAAAAAAAGTGAAAATGCAAGAAAGAGAAAAAAGGAAATCAAAATCACACTGAAATCTCCCACAGTGCCAGTACTTGTTCTGAAACACCTGCACTTGCATGTTATTGAAGGAATAAAATGTTACACAGCAGCTTGAAAACACCACCAAAGAAAGATTTTTAATTCTTCTTAATCATATTTAGTGACCTCAGGCCAGCTTGATTTAGGACCTGAAGCACCTAACTGATATCCACGAGACAGCCACTTCTAATGCTGTAGTAAGTCTTGTTTCAGCATGGGCCAGAATCCTAAATTACTTTTTTTAATGGGAGTTATGTTACATTGGAGCACTTTGGCTTGCCACCTCCAACAATCTGTGCTGTGATTGAAGTATCTTCACAATCCTACTCAGTTACTTAACTTTATTTCCTTAGACAGGAAAGATGGAGTACTGGGAATGGAGCAAGAAAATATCAGTGCATGGTGGTGTACCAAAGGCACAGGCTACAGAGATGCAGCAGGCTGGAGAAAACATAAGGGCAGGGTATAAGGGAGCAAGCCTAGGTGCCAGGAGTAGGAGCAGTCAGGGTATTTTTCAGCATAAAGTTTGAGCAGAATAGCATATTCTTTTAAGAAAAGTGTTTGTAAAGAAATGAGTAATTAGATACATTCACTCTCATTAACAAACTTGGTTGCCTCTGCCTTCAGATGGGCAGGACCAAGATCAAAATGATTTCTGGATTTCATTTTGGGGCAAGATGGAAGCTAACCCTGAGATCTAGGATATGTTACAAACAAGATTATGGGACTTTCTAAATACTGTTATTTTCTGTTGGAAGAAAAGTAGGAAGTATCACTTGTAAATAACATGACAAATGCTCTGAGACTTGCTTACCCAGTGCCCTCCATATTAAACAGAACAGGAGAGTGAAGCTAACGAAGGCCCAGTTCCACTCATGGTTCTTTCCAACTGTAGACACTCCCATGAAAATGAAGATCAGGGTCTCACTGACACTGCTCAACATCTTCATGAAATATTTTATTGTTGTATAGGATTTTTGGGAAACATTTTCCTCCACATATTTATTCATGGTCATGGCACAAGCTGTAATCCTGAAAGGGAAACACAATCCTCTGTTTCATTGCCTTTTCACTTTTCCATACTGCTCTTTAAGATACAAAGTATGACTTATTCCATCACCAACAAATCTCAAAGTTATAGATTTAGTGAAATCCTGTTTGGGGCACGTGATTTTTTTCTTTTTTTTTCTCCATGATAGGAAGTTTTCTGAGAACACATAAGAGTATGGAGAGTTTTGCCATCTTCCAAATCCACATGCGATGTTCAGAGGTCACTCAAACTATGCACTTAGAGATAGGCAGAGCTAAGGAGAGCCAGAACAGCTCTGGAGAACAGGAATTGCTACTCCTACTGCTGCTGAAGGACATCAGAAAGACATTATTCAGATACTAACAGACAGGATGGCAACTTAAGCCCTGGGGCAGGACTGCACACCCTTCCCATTAGTAGTTTGCCCACCATATCATCTCCCCCTTGATGACAATGACAGCAGCCAGCTCCTTTTTCCAGGGAACATAAGCAGCAAGGCCACAGAAAACTTCTCCATTCAAGGCTACTGCCTGCTTTCCATATGCATAGAGCTGAGCAAGGCCTCAGAGGAGAAAAACACAACCTGCTATTAAGCATTTAAAGCACCCAAAAAAGAATGAAATGGGGATATCATCTAAAAAGTGAAAGAACAGATAGGGCTTACTATGCCTATATGTCCATTCTCTAGGCCTGTGTTAGTAAGCATAATTTCTCTAATCAGGGAGTCCAGAGAGGGGCCACAAAGATGATTAGAGCGCTGGAACATCTCCCCTATGAAGACAGGCTGAAGGAGCTGGTTTTGGTCAGCCTGAAGAAAAGAAGGCTGCAGGGTGATCTCATTGCAGCCTTTCAGTACCTGAAAGGAGCCTACAAACAGGAGGGGAGTCAACTCTTTGAAAGGGTAGATAACAGCAGGACAAGGGGAAATGGTTTTAAGTTGAGGGAGGGAAGATTTAGGTTGGATGTCAGGGGGAAGTTCTTTACAGAGAGAGTGGTGAGGTGCTGGAACAGGCTGCCCAGAGAGGTTGTGGATGCCCCATCCCTGGAGGTGTTCAAGGCCAGGTTGGATGGGGCCCTGGGCAGCCTGGTCTAGTGTTAAATGTGGAGGCTGGTGGCCCTGACTATAGCAGGAGGGGACTGGAGATTCATGATCCTTGAGAACCCTTCCAACCCAGGCCATTCTGTGATTATATGATTCTGTGGTGAGGCACTGGCACAGGTTGCCCAGAGAGGTGGTGGATGCCCCTTCCCAGAAGATGTTCAAGATCAGGATGGACGGGGCTCTGAGCAACGTGATTGAGCTGTAGGTGCCCTTGTTCATTGCAGAAGAGTTGGATTAGGTGAACTTTAGAGGTCCATTCCAACTTCCAACAATTCCATGAAAAACTTTTTTGCAAAGTGGAAAGCGGAATCTCAGAATGAGCAGTAGCTCCAAAAGGATCTCAGAATAGATGCTACCATAGATCCCAAATATATATATGCCCATACACCTCTGGAAGAAAGTGGTAGAGGATCTTGGCTATACACGGATTTTGTCCTGGCATGTAGTGATGATCCAGCCAGGAACATATACTCAAGCCTTGGAAATATTCCTGGGTTCTTCAGTTCAGCAGCTTCAAAAGTACATGTGAAGAAGGGTATCAGATCTCCTTATCATTTTAAGCCTCCAGAACTCCTTCATTGGCAAATCAGCTCTTGTCAAGACAGAGACTGCACTGATCGGACTATAGATATGTCAGGTTATGTCACGGCCAATGATAGCCCTCCTGTGAAGTTTAACTGCACAGGTGTAACAAGTCCTGGCTACCTTCAATCAACTGCACACACAGTATGGATGGCACTGGGGCAAGTGCAGGGGCAGTAAAGGCAATTTAGCAAGAAAGCAATAGGCAGGCTGCAAAACAGCCCCTTTCAGACACATGGTCATTTCAGGGTCTCACAGCTGCAGCACACTGTCCGAAGCGTTACGGCTGTTGGGTCTGCATCAAAGAAAAAACACAACAGTCAGTACTATTTATTACCCCCTTAAAATAAATAGTTTTCATGATTATGTCCATTTAGGAAAGCCCTGCAGCTTGGGGAGTGAGGAAGGAAGCTCCGAACAGTTTGTTTTTGGATTCTGAGGTAATGGAGACACTGAAATAGATGTCTGGTAAGAATCTGTCACCAGATTAATCTGGATCTTTACAAGCTGTAACCTAAAACACCTACCATGTTTAACTACAAGAATTTAAAGGGACTATGCTCTTATATATAGAATATCCTTTTCAGTCACATTTTGCATTTATCCAATTAGTGTTGACAGCTGAGATGATTCACCAGTATAACAAATAGCGTTGTACATTCTTTGTACTGTTAAGTACTATTAAATACTAATAAGTACTATTCCACAGCTAATCACTGTTCACTTCCAGCTTTGATTTATGTGACCTGAGGCAGTTGCCTTTATCAAGAAATGGAGGGAAAAACAGTAGTTGCAATTAACTTGCAGCCTTTTAGCCTTTTATGCCACTGAAGAGCACTCCTGTACAAACTAGAGTTTCTGTCAGGAGTGCAATAAACTAGGCCCCTGTGTTCAATCCTCAAGTTTCCCTGACCTACTAACTTTACAGTAGTCTCAATGTTTTTCCTTCCAGCCTGCTAAATCACTGTTGCAAAAATATTAATAATAATATTAATAATAATAATAATAATAAAAAAAATTAATAGTCTTGCCACTTCATTGCCTTCATAACAAATGAGTAAGCAGCAAATACAGCATTATAATTAGAAATGGGAACCAGGCAGGTAATGTTCAGATTTACATCTGTAGTTTTCGCACCCCGATCCTGATTCCAGCCCAGCTCTAGTTACAGGAGGACCTCCTTCCTCTGCTGCAGAGCACTTTTTCACAGCAGCTGGTGAGGACTGAGTCAGCTGTGGAGATATTTTGGCCGAGTGACCCTGTGCATGGACAACACATGGGTGCTTCAGGAATCATCTGTCCCCAGAGCGAGTATGCTGACTTATCAGAGAAACAAGAAAGCACCTCTCATTTCCCTCTGCTCCTTTTTGCCAATGATTTCCTGCTTGCACAGGAAAAAGGCACTCAGTGGATGTGTCTTTTATATGCTATAAAACATTACGTGTTCATGTTTTCTGCCTGAAGCGTGGCACAGAGTGTATGTGCGAGGCCTTGCAGTGAATCTTTAAGAATCTGGATATGAAGGAAGAGGGTATCAGTAGTTCAGCACATGGGGTACGGGTGAAAGGAGGGAAACTGGGCATTTCTTCCCTACAGGCTGAACTACAAATGACCACAGAATCCTGGAACAAGCCAGGTTGCAAGGGGCATCTCAAGGTCATTTGGCTCAGGCTGACTCTGAGACCAGAACTGAGTGACTGGGACCAGTGCACTCACTGCAGAGCATGGCATCAGGGATCAGCACTACGCTGCACTACAACACAGGGCAGAATACTCTCCAGAGTTCAAAGCCTAAGTAAATGCAAACAGCACAGGGTACAGAATCATAGAATCATTAAGGCTAGAGAAAACCACTAACATCGTTTAGTCCAGCTATCAGCCAATTCCCACCACGCCCACTAACCATATCCCTCAGTGCCACATCCAAACGGTTGGCTCTTCAATATCTCCAGGGACAGTGACTCCATCACCTCTCTGGGCATCCTGTTCTAGAGCCTCACCATTCTTCCAGACAAATAATTTTTCCTAATATCCAGCCTGAAACTCCACTGGCTCAACTTCAGGCCATCACCTCTTGTCCTTTCACTGTTACCGGGGAGAAGAGGTCAGCCTCACCACAATCTCCTTTCAGGTAGCTGTAGGGAGCGATAAGGTCTCCCCTGAGCCTATTCTCCAGACTGAACAATACCAGTTCCCTCCAAGGTGATGTGGGGGTTATGGGAGCTGCAGGTGCTCAGCATCACTGCAGAAATGGGGCTATGCAGTATGTCCTATGGTATCAGAGTGTCTACACCTCTGCAGAGGTTCCCTCCTCCTTCCCACCAGTGCCACCAAGGTATTCAGCTCCCTCAGCTGTTTTGAAGTCTACTTAGAGTCAAAACATACATAGGATTTTTAAAGATAACTAATTTTCTGTCATACTGCTGGATGAAAAAAACAAAACAAAACAAAACAAAAAAACCTGGAGGCTTCGTACACTGTTTTGCACCCATTCAAGGGTTGCCATTGCAAACAGAAATGAATAGCTCACTGGTGCCACATGAAGCAATACTGTGTTGGTTCCCACTCTGCCCTTCCTATTTTATCCCGGATGCAGAATGTCCAGTTTAGTATTTTCCTGCATGCTGATACAACTTTTTCCATGTGCAGTTTAGCCACACATATTTGGCTTTGAAGCCCTTTGAGTATTTGATCATAGGATGTCAAGAACATTTGACTTAAGAAGTGGAGGAAACTAGAAACCACACAAATGCTATGAATAGAAGGTGGGGAAAGAGATGGCTCATTTATGAACTCGGTCAAAGTGGATACATACGTTGCTTTATTTAGGCTCATATCAGAGAAAGAAACCCATGCAATCCTTAGCTCTTTACTTACATTAAAGTACTGACCCTTGTGGTTTCCTGGCATATTTATTTTTTTATCAGCCGTCAGTTTCCATGTAAATGGTTTCTCAGACCCAGAAAACTTTATACTGTCAGGGCTATGATATCAAACCTATCTTCACATTCTTACAGGATAATTATCAAATCAGGAATTATCGAGTTTTAGTGACACTCAGTAGTAACATATAGGCTCTCAAATATCTATGTTTCTTATCCTGAATGACTCACCTTTGCTGCTAGAACAACACAAAGTCATTAAAGAAGGTCAGCCTTTTAAAAATATTACTTGGAACCTGAGAAAACCGTTTAGGCATATCAAGTGTCATAAAGGCTCTTTCTAAAGATGAAGCTGTTAGAGTATAAACAGCATCAAGAAAAAGGCTATGCTGTCTCTTTTTTGAAGTCCAGGACAGAAAGCCCACAGAGGGAAAATATTTTTATCTGTTAGCAGCAGGAAGAATAATATTATTTTGTACATAACAATGTATTCAGAGAGCATTGTAACACACAGGTACATGTATCAAGTTATTAAACTGAACGTTTATATCATCATAGGACTAGATTCTGCAAATCTTACTGTATTTGTAATGCAGCAGGAGTTTGCCTGGATGACACATGCATTGTCTCCACTGAATGGCATTTGCTGGCTGCTCACATGACTACACAAAGATGCAGTTTCACAATATCTTGGCATCGGCAGCAAAGCCAGCTCATGAGGTTTGCAGCTACCACTGCCACTCCCTGCCTGCCATGGCTGCCCCCACATCGTTGTGTGCCACCCCTGGGCCATGCCTGTGTGACCAGTGGCAGGGTCTCGTGAGGACACAGGTCACCCAACTGATCTGGAGTAAAAATAACCCCACCAAAAATACTAGGGATTATTTTTAATTTGAAACGTTTCAAAGATATGGTTTATGGTGCGATGCCACAGGCAGTTTTAGTGACACAGCTGGTGTGGTGGCAAGCTGAGACAATGGGGTGGGAGCAGAATGGGAGAAGCCACAAATCCTCAAGCCAGCTCCACTGCCATGCACAGTGGAATGAGGCTATATGGCAGGGTTTTGCAAAATCTTGTCCTCTCTGCAGTTCCCATTCTTATTTGGATGCTATTACTACTGAAGTTTGGGGTACTTACGCCATGATGCCCGAGAGATGAAACATTTCAGCTGTTATGTATGACAAGTAACTGTACAGGAAGACAAAAAGTGGCTCAATCACTCGGATTTTATGGGTGAAACGGGTGGTAAAGGCTGCTACAAATCCCAAAAGGATTCCAATCAATACTCCACCGATCCCCACTATAAAGAAGTTAGCAATCCCAGCGAATATGTCAATAACCTGAATTGTGCGCATCTGGCAGAAAGACTTGAACAAATTGTACAGGACCTATGAGAAAAAGAAAGCACATTATGTTTCTGAATTCTTCTTAATTTCCCTTTGTGCCATTGTATTTCTCTGCTTCATGGTTGGACTTTGTCTTTCTCTGTCTACCTTGAATCCATTTTTGAGAAACACTGGACTGCAGCCACCCCAGAGATTACATGAAACATGGCATCCATGCAGTGGCCTTTCTCTGATATACTAACCATTTGGAATCCAATAGTTTAAGGACTTTCCAAACTTCATATTTTGTCTCGAGATTCGGATTTAATTCCCATAGAAGACCTGTGTATTTGCCCAGTTTCATTTTCAAAATTCTTACAACTGCCCTCCTAAATAAATAAGGTGAATGGGATTATAATATTTTCTCGATCAGATCTCCTTTTCTCTCTATACCTAAAACAATAATATAAAGTCCAAGTTCCTCTAATCAGTAGTTACTACTAAAAAGATGGAATCAATCTTTAAAAAATCACTCTTTAAAAAAATCTTAAATGGTTTTCACAGTTGCAGATATATTTGGAAGATTCAAGCATTGCCCAATGTTACATGTGTGCTTCCAGCCTTGTGATATCACGATGGCTACATGATCTCTGTGTACAGGCCAAAGTTTGGTCCTATTCCGAGCACAGAGCACACCTAAGCCAGAAGTAGAAACTGGGGTCACAGGTTTAGCCACCATGTTCACAACAAATACCAGCTTGGGCAGCTTACAGGAGTTAAATATCTGCTTTCTTTATGGACTTCTTAGCGAATCAAATAGACTTCTCTATCAGAAATGCTATTTGAAAGAACAATCTTTTATCAGTACTTGCATTGTGCCAACATTGTAGGTATTTGAACACAGGGAAGGAATTGTCGCCTTTGCAGTTTTGCTCTCTCACATGACAGAAAATTAGCTTCACAGCTCTTCTTAGCCAAAATTTGAGAAGACTTACATAGGTAAAAGTCCTCAGTAAAGAGTAATTGAGGACATGGACTAATAAGGGTCCTTTGAGCTAAATGAAAGGAAAGAAAAAAGGAAAGAACAACTGAAAAAGAAAAAAAACATATTCCAGCACAAGCGTGAAAAAAACAAGGGTAAATCAAACATAGCAGGTTCACCAGTAATTTCTGATTTCCACTTCAGAGCAACAAGCAGGGGAAGAGCAGGAGCATGAGCTGCTTGCTTCATAAGCGTGATGCTCTTAGGATGAGTCCACCTGGGAGAAGTGTATTTTTCACCTGGGCAAACCCATTCACCTTCCTGCTGCAAGGCTTTTTTTTTTTGCCCTGTTCCTCGATATTTATTTCCCATTCACACACAAAAGGAAATGGACAGGAAAGTAATGTCATATGCTCCACTGGTTTTCAATGTTTTGATTTCTAGACCTTATGAATTTGCATACCAGAAGAAGCATACCAGAATTAAGCCTCCTGACAAGGTGTGCCTTCATTTTTCATTTTACAAAGACCCTTCATTCCACAGACTTACAGGGCTCCCTGAATCACAGGCTGAAAAAAAAACAACTGCTGTTTTGTGTCAAGAAAGGAGAGAAGTCTCCCTGAGTCACCTCTTGGCACTTGCAATTGCCCCTGTATTGCACTATTCTTCAAGACACCTGCAGAATCTCATCTACCACGGTATGGATTTTGGAACATGATCATTTTCTGTGAGTCAAAAAGCCTTGTTTTACATTTTCAAAAGTAACTATATAAGTGTGTATATAAATTTATATATATGTTTGGCAAGTATCTGAAGAAAGATCACTGACAGCTGCTTGTAAAGCATATAATTTTGACCTACTCAAGCAACAGACTTTCCATAGCATCACCTCATCTCAACCGCAAAGAACTCAACCTGCAAACAGAATGGAGCCTGTTTCCAGCATAGACATAAATCTAGAGTCTACTGTCACAACTTATTTGAAAGAAGAAATGCAATGTACATGAAAACCATGCCATGCTGGAAGCAGTAGCTAGGACTACAGAATGTCAAGAAAATTATTTTAATCTCCTTCTTATTGTTCTTTATTTGCACTACTGTACATGAGATCACAATCAGGTTCCATTCCCTTTTACTGCACAGGTAGTTCAACTCTCATTAAGCTTTCAGGTGAGTTAAACAACAGTAACACCAGCCACATTTTGCAATGTACTTGGCATGCAAACTGTTTTTATTCAAGTTCAAGATTTACTCAACATCCTTTAGCTGAACTTGCTGAAGGTTACACCAAGGAGGCATCAGTCACTAATGGTTCTAATCATGTCTCAGAGTATATATGCTCCTCCTAGACACTAATTACTTATTTTCATCAGTTTTCAGTTGTTTTTAATTCTGAAATTACTCAAAAGTATAAATAATATAAATAATATAAAAATAATGTTTTTGGTAGAGGTAGAATGCTGCTGTAATGTTTTTTAATGCAAGAATAATATTATTGTAATGAAACTGGCTCCTTCTGTGTAATTTTAAGCCCAAAATTGGAATTTGAACCTCTAAAACTCAGCTTCAACTGTGATTTTGCCATTTAGCATCCTCATAGTAGCTGTCACTGAACCAGGTGGGTGGTAAGGCACCAAATGAGAAGCAATACAACTGACTGCCAAATATTGTCCTCAACTAAATTCAAGCTTCAAAATTTCACCAGTGGGATCATCCAAATTGTGAAACCAGTTAGGCATGAAAGCCACATGAGAAGCACAGCAGAGCCGAAATTTCTGAGAATGTACACCCCGCTTTATAGCTAAAACGAAGGTGAGATAGCAAGTTTCTTGAAAAGGGAAAGCACAGATGATGCTGCTTTCCTAAGAAAAGCAGCAGCCCAGCAGTGCAAGCAGATTAGCAGGATGAAGAGCTTTAAGTATTTAGGAAGCATGTTTACTGGAGTCAGGCCAGCCTGACTTCAGCACCCCTCCTGCCCCATCCCTCGTCCCACCACAGGCCTCTGCAGCAAGGACTGCTCCAGCAGCCCCGCCATGGTGTAGGAGCAAGGTCTACCCAGGGCACTCCAGAGCAGCCTCATGAGATGGCCTGAGTTGCAATTTGAGTTTAAGCACGATTGCAGGTGTGCAAAACCATAACAAGGAGCCATTAACAGACCAGTACTTAGCATGTGGAAACCACTTGGTCTCCTGCCCGGAATCACCGGTAAGCAATAGCTGGGAATTTAGACTGAACAGACTCTAAATCCCTTTCAGTTCCCATGAATAAAAGTACAGCCAGTGTACCTGCTGGGTTGGCCCTACAGGTTCCTGAGAGTACCTCTCCCCATTGTGGGGCACTTGGGCAGGCACTTCGTGAGAAAGAACTCTGAAGAAGGCAACAATGATGCCTACAGGAAAGCCACAAATCAGTGCCATGCCAGCGCCTAAGAAAAAGGTGCCATGAAGTATCCCACCACTGGGCATTGGCATGTACACACATTTCCACCATCAAGATGAAGTGCTTTGCTAGCAAAACTTGCTAGATTAACTGCTGTTCCTGTAGAAAGGCAATTGATTTTGTTATCAGAAAAAGCAATTTTGGAAGGAAAAATAAAAAAAATAAAATGTTTTTACTAACATTAAAGTAGCCCTTTTTTTCCTTTTGAAAAATAATACAAAAAGGATTCCTTTTTATGTGTGCTCATTAAGAGTGAGTATAGACAGACACAGCCATGGCTGAACTGTTTGAAACTCAGAATTTACACCCACTGTTTTCCCCGACTGTCTTAGGTGCCAGTTCAGTAGTAACAGGCAGATGCAGGTATAAGCTGATGAGTACAGCTAGGCTTCAAGTCAAGGCCACACAAGGGGATGCGACATAGAGTCTGGTAAAGCATAGACTGTATAGAACAGTACGCCTCAGGGCATATAAGAAATTATCAGTACCAAGGCTCGGATTAAAAGCTTGAGACACACAGGTGTTAAGCAGGTGAGGGAATGCCCCAGAAAGGGGGAAAACTGCAGCAGAATTCTGTAAGGAGTGGGACAGTTGATAAGAAGCCAGAGAAAGTGAAGGCGAGGACCCAATTCATCAACCTTCCTGATCATTCTGTCATATGAAAAAAATGGATTTCCAAGGCTCACAAACATAAAGCATGCCATGACATAGTTAACATAGGCAGGATTTCAAGTAAGGTATAGATAAATGGGAGTAATGTTCCAGACAAAGTGTCATCAGGTACAAACAAGGGGCACTGGGAGTGTTAATGGAATTTACAGATTTCTGTCCTCGGGTCAGCACCACAAACCTAATGCAGCTGGTTAATGATTAGAAACTGCTACCTCCAGGTGGCTTTCCTGGCTCATCTGTAACTTGGGAGAATGTACAGGTGGGCTCTGGGCAGTCGGAACCAGACAGACACATGTGAACACCTGGCATTGCCTGGATCCCATGCTCATGGTAGCTCAATAACTCACCCGTTCTCCCTAAGAATACACAGAACACCTCACACTGGCCCTTTTGCCTGTCCCATCCAATTAGTTCTGCAGGCGAGGCAAGCCTCCAGTTTAAGATTACAGAAGTGATAGAATTCAAACGTACAGAAACTAAAGAGGTCAGGTAGTAAAATGACTTGAACAAATATGGTACCATTACTCATTGCTCTGCTGTAGCTAGACTATTGTAGTTCTTAAATCTAAAGTTCAGAGAATTACGTAGATGCATTAGCACTTACTGATTTTCCTCTTTTGGCAAATTGCAATAACCACATACGTTCAAACAGGCCACATAGTGGCATACAAGCAATCATTTATCATTTTAATCAACTAATCATTTATCAGGTAACTTACCACAGTTATAGCATCATTCAGCAACGATTCTCCAAACACCAGGATGTAGAGCTGCTCATTGACATGGATATTTTCAAACACAGCCAGTACTGCCACAGGATCCACAGCTGAAATAAGGCTGCCAAAGAGCAAATTCTGCAGCAAGGTGATATCAGTCAAACCAAATGCACTGATTTGGCAAATTCCAAAAAGTGAAATTCCAATGCCAATGGCATTCCAAAGAGTGCCCACCACGGCATACCAGAATATAGTACCAAAGTTCTCAAAGAAAAGACGAGTTGGCATGAAATATCCAGCATCGAGTACAATTGGTGGTAGGAGATATAAGAAAAACACATCACTGTTCATTACAGGTGGGGACTTCTCCTCTGCTCCAAAAATAATCCCTCCAAGAAGCAATCCAACCAGAATAAGGAGACAGCTTTCAGGTACTATTGAGGGCAACTTGTGATAGAGATGGAAGCCTTCAAAGGAAATTCAAACACAAGAAAATGAAAAAGTTATTTGCAAAGAATCCAAACAACTACTCTACATTCTGTTATCTTAGTCTCTGTAGTAAACAAACATCAACTGCAGAGCAGTTTCATTTTCACTGACAAGACTGAAATGGACCACCATCACAGGCCAATGTAAACCTGTCATCCAGCATAGTTAATTCAATTAATTTGATGGAGAAGCAGTTTAATAGCTAGAGTTTCCTGCCAATAGCTAGGTTGGTAGAGCAACTGATGCTTTGTTTGTGAAACTACATTGTCGTTTCTTGTTGCTTTTTTCAAGCTCTTTAGTTGCTGTTTTGTTACTGCTGTGGCTGTTTGTAACTTAGAATCCAACAGGAACACGTTCCAAAGGCTTCTTCTAAAGGGCAAGTGACAGCTAGGTAGAGAAAAAAAAGTCAGGATAACTACCCCTTCCTCCGTGCACAGCTTCACAAAGGAACTTAAGAAACAAACACATTCTTTTTATTTTTAGGTTTCTTCAGTCTGAAAACCAAGGGCACTAGCATATGACCTGCATCCACTCAGCTAAGGTACTTTCTCAGTGACCATGAGGAAGCATCATCAGCCACACTACTCTTTAACAGAGCCTCCAAATTGGTTTCACAACAACAAAAAGACGTATGTTTTCTATAAAGGGACAATAAATTGCATCTTGTATTATTATATTAATCCTTCTCTATTATATGAATTATGGTAGTTCCAAGAGTCTGTCGCAAAAATCTGTGCACAGTGATAAAAAAAAATTAAAAAAAAATTAAAAAATGCTCTGGATGAAGACCTAATGGTTGAGTGTTCCACTGCCTACTAAAGTTCTCAAAGCCATGTAGTTTTGATTTAAAGATTCCAATTACTTTCAGAAGTTGATTATTGTAGGGGTGACTTCCAGTAATGAATGACAGATGTTTGAAAGGAACTTACTTTGGCCAATCTAATGGAATGGTCAACCCTATGCACAAAGGTCACATTCCAGGTCGTGGCGATACCAATCTTTTCCAGGCTCCTCCTTATCTATATTTGGCCCATATAATTATATAGAAAACTATCCACACCCACAAGATCCTACAATTCCCGCCTAAGTAAAAAGCATTTAAATTATTTTAAATGAGAGCTGCGCGGAAACACTGGGTGTGGTAATAACGGGCGTCTATTTCAGTAAAACTATTTCAGTAAAATTCACACCTGGAGTCGAAACAGTTAAACTTCTGCAAACTTGGAACAGTTCGCATCCAGGTTCCCAGTCTGAGGCTTCTGTATCTTGTAGCACTTATTCTGTTAATTCTCCTTTCATCACTGATTTTTTTCCAGGCAAAAGAAAGCCTGACTTTACAATTATGGAAAACAAATGGTTAAACAAGACTAAGGGGGAAGTTGCTCTAATCTACAGAATTTTACTTATGTTTTCAATAACTATTAAAGCTGTTTTTAAAAATAAGCAGCTCAAGCCTCCTTTCTTTCTCCCTTCTGGATGAACAGAGTGCTTTTTAATATATGGAAACAGCCTTATGACGCATTAGGATTGCTAAATTCACTATCATTCTTTGGAACAGGAATCACTAGGATCCAGTCTGCTGTATGAGCAGAGCAGGTAATGACCCTGGGAAGATAAGAATTGCCTCTTGCACACTCGTCTCTTCACCTTTCAGACACTTCCACTTGAACATATTATGGTCTGTCTTCATTTCTGCAGTGGCGGGATGCCAAAATTTCTGACAGAGTGATTAAGAAGATTCTCCTGAGCAAACAGTTTTTGCTGGAAGATTTAAAAGCCCTTGGAAAGTATCTTAAAACATTTTTTTTCAATAAAAAATGAAAGCAAGGGTATTTATACAAATGCAGCTTTAATGAGGGAAAAAAAAAAAAAAAAAAAAAAAAAGCTTCCAAGCAGGTCTAATGCAGAAGCAATGAAATGTCTATTATGAACATAAAATAAAAATCTTTTTCTTGTTTTTTTCCTTTACAAGTCACTCTTTAGATAGTTCATACCTTCCCAGAGCAATTGGTACTCTACCTCATTCTTGAAGGGCTACCACTATGCAGCACATGAATGACCTTTGGCTGAAACCAAGATCATAGCTACTTTCTCCTCTTCTGACCTTGTTCTTGGACTCCTGACTATGCAGTAGAAGCATGGAAGATGTTTACCCTCAGGCCACTGGGCATTGCCTAATGTGCAAGTTCAATATTCTTCAAGCTGAAAGGACCTTGGAGTCCTGGTTTTCTATTCTTGGGTGAAGTCCAGTGTTTTCTGTTGCTGACAATGCCACCGAGACATGTACTTTCGATTACGTGTGAGTGGTCCAACTCTCAGGGTTCAGGTGCTGAACAGTTTTATTCAGAAGAACTTTTTATTAGGGAGAGAAGTGCTGGAAGGGCATTGTAGAATGCTTTGGGCTGGAAGGGACCTCACAGCTTACCAAGCCCCAAACCCTGCCATAGGCAGGGCTGCCCCCCACCAGCTCAGGCCTGCCCAGGGCCCCATTCAACCTGGCCTTGAGCACCTCCAGGGATGGGGCATCAGGTCAGGTCTGAGAGGCAGCACTTCTAATTGTGCTTGTGATTAAGCATATAAGTAACAACAATCTGGGTGAGTTAGACAACGTTTTCTAAGTTTAGGGGCACAGGAGTTCAGCAATACGGGGCAGTAAGCAGACCAGTCTCACTGCTTAGAGATTACAGCATGTTTGGGGTGCATTGGATTCCACCTAATGCACCTGTGAGCTCATCAGCATGTTACTGACACACCTCATGTAAGGTATCACCACACAAGATAAGTAACTAGAGGTAGACAGAAATTAGCAATTCTGCTCAAGGCAATTTCTTAGATTTCAAAAGGTGCTCTTGCTCTCTGTTGGAATATAAATACTAAGCTCCTAATTTCTATGTACTTCACCAAAATGCTTAGGATCTCCCTGACAACTTTTCCTTTCTTATGCTGTCCTTTGTGCTCTTGATAATCCTAGTCTACAATCAGGAGATCTGAGAAGCCTTTTAGTTAGATATCCCTCGTAACAAAGAGCATATCTTCGAATGCTTCCACTTGAACCAAACTGCACTTCTGCAAAAACATGCATTTTCTTTCAAAAAGGCAGTAAGCAAGTGTTAGGATACAGTTCTTCGGGATCCTAAGGATGTGGTGAGTGCTGTTATTAAACATGACCTTATCTTCCATGCTTCCTACAGCTGAGCAGAACTCAGGGCTCTGTTCATAAAGGTTTGCTGCTCAGCAGTGTTATAAGTAAGCACCTTGTGCCCAGCCCCAGAAAGGAATGTGTGATGCCAGATTAAGCACCCAACTTTCCTGGGCAGTGCGCGCCTCGAGGTGGCACGACACAGGCAGAATGCCTGCGCTGCCTGGAAGAAACGTGGAGAGAGGGATGTCCCCGAGACCTGCCTTGCAGAAGGAGCTCAACACTCCTCTCCATCCCTTTGAACTGAGGCAAACCACCCTGTCTTACAGACTTAGGCTTGGGAGCAATGAGATCCCGCGCTGGGCAGGTGTGCGCGATGCAGTCACTGGATAAGGAGCACAGCCGGAGCCTGGGAGCCAGAACTGGATGTTCCTAATTCCAGCCCCACAGCCGGGGCCCTTAAGGTAGGCGTGGTGGAGCTGGTGTGGCCACACCTGGGACCTGGCCCTGGTTGCTTGCAGCATGCTGCTAACAGCAAAGACAGTGCCCTACATCTGCCACATCAGCCTTCGTTTGGTGTAGCTGAAGGGATTTGACAATTATAGGCATTTCTCCTCATTTACACTCCTAGCTTATTCATTGCTCTGCAGTCAGCTTGGGAAGTAAAAGTAGGCAACTCCGATTTTCTTACTTTTTAGATGCCAGCGCACTAGCAAAATGCCATGACAGTTACAATGTATACAGTCCTGCAGAATCTATTACTGCGTATGTATGTGCTGACATGTTTCAGATGGATTTCCTTTCATTGTTAATGAAGCAAACAAAGTGTTAGTTGATTCAATAGTTCTTGCTGTATCTAGGCTCAGAAGCTGGAGCAAATCTGCAGCACTCGACTGGCTGAGTTCTTTCCCAAATCCCTCAAGTTCTGGCCATGACGGTTCATGATTTATCTGAGTGCATCACTCTGGAAGTATATCCTGATTCTGCAAACACCTACATTCATTCTCAAGGCTAATTATGCACCTTTAATGCATTCAGATGTGCAGCCTGAATGGCTGGCTTCAAGATAAAGGTATTTCTGCACAAAGCAATGAAGCTACAGTGAGGTACTGGGGTGGAGGATCAGGCCCCCAGCTCAATGCTGACTGTGGCTGGAGAGCAATGTTCATTTTTGCAGAAACTCAACTACCTGACATGTAATGTGTAAATAATGTGACCCCATTTAAATGTCAAAAGAAGTCAGTCAAAGTTTTATCAAGCTGTTCTATCAAAGTATGACCACAGCTTTGACTGAAATCACAGAATAGGATAACTGGAGTTGGAAGAGACCAACAAGGAGCATCGAGTCCAACTCCTGGCTGCCCACAGGACCAGCCAAATCTGTGACGCAAAATGAGATTTCCCATTTAAACCAAGGAAGTGCAGACCTTTTTATTGGGTTTCCACAGCTCTATCCCTGCCATTATCTTTTAGTTGAGACAGAGTCCATCATATGCAGTTTTACTGACTCTAAAATAGGTCTCTAGTATGCATTTTCCTGACATCTTTAGATGATTCTGCTGTACCTGTTAATTCGGTCTGGGGTACAGAAAGCTCATTAGACACACGGTCTGTAAACCACACAAAACAGTGAAACTATGCAATACAAATAATTTCCACATGAGGGAATAAGCAGCCTTTCTCACTCATTCAGTGCCGCACTTTCTATCTTTCTCGGGACACGAGTGAATGGTGGGGAAAGTACAACGAGGAGTCTTCCTCATAAATATTTGCTCTCCATCGATCTGTTGTTCTGTTAGGAAACTGTCATTATAGCCGGTGTTATTTTAAGAGGAAGAAAACAGAGCTCCGACGGCAGCAGAGCGATCAAGGAACACCCTGCCGTGCCCGGCTGAACTCTCAGCTTTCCAATCCTACCAGCCCGTGCTTTAGCGGGCTGCAGGTAACCGCTGCTCACCTACACCTTCCCACCTCAAACCCTCCGAACGAGCCCGTCCCGGGGCGTGACGCTGAGAAGTGGCATCGCCGACCCCGGGAGCCCCGCCCCGCGCCCCCCGCCCGGTGCTTCGCTCCCCGCGCCGGGCTCCCGCGGCGGTCCCGGGCTGCGGAGCACGGGAGTCCCCTTGGGCCGCGCTCACCGATCTTGGCGAGGGAGGCGAGCAGGATCCAGAGGGTGATCTCGAAGGGGATCTGCACGTGGGGGTAGTCCAAGGTGAAGACGTGCAGCCGAGTCTCCTCGAAGGCGGTGCCGCTGGGGCTCGGCGGGGTGCCGGTACCCATCGCCGCCGCGCCGGGCGCTTGACTCCCCGCGGTGCCCCGCGCCTCCGCCACCGTGGCCGCGAGCACCGCCAGCACCGCCAGCAGCTTCCGCGGCGCGCCGCGGCGCGGGGGGCCGCCACCGCCGCCGCCCATGGTGCCCCCACCGCCGCCCCGCTGCCGGTCCCGCCGCCGCCCTACGGCCCCGCGCCGGCCGCCGCCACCATCCCGCCGCCAGCGCCGCGGACACCTGCCGCCGCCGCGGCCCCGCCGGCTCCGCCTCCCGCCGGTGACTGGGCGAGCCCCCGCCCGGCTCTCCGCGAGCCCCGGGGCCGCCCCCGCTGCCCCCGGCCGCCGCCCAGCCGCTGTCAGACGGCGCGATGGTGCTGGGGCCGGGCGCCGGAGTGCCGAAGTCTGAGTTAGTCGAAAGGAGTGTTGTATGTGCGTGTGTGCGTACGTACGGCAGGAGGGAGTGAGGCGCTACAGACGTCGATGGATGTGTACGTGTATATATATCTATATGTATGCTATATAGTATAGAATATACTGTATCTAAAATATGTATGTGTATATATTAACTGCTATATATTATGTCTGTTGCCCATACAGTGCCAAAATCTGAGAACACACACACACACACATATATGTTTATTTATGTGGAGGCTGCTCCAGAAGTAATGCCTCCTATGTTATGATGCTGGCCCATTACATCAGAGGCAGATGTGGGTGGGATGGCAGTAGAGGCTGAACCTTCCCACCAATATTCCATTACATGCTATTGTCGTGTGACAGATGGCAGCAGAGGGGTGGTCTGACAGAATGGTGTCTGACGTGGAAGCGCGGATGGAGCACAGGTGTGTCATCAAATCCCTCCACATGCAAAAATGGCACTCATTAACATTCATCAGCACTTACTAAACGTTTATGGACACCAAACACTGGATGTGAGCACAGTGTGGTAGTGGGTGGTGCCTTTAGAAGTGGTGACAGTGGGTCACCTCCAGTGGTGTCACTTTTATGAGCATGGCACGCAGGCTCTTGTTCATTTCTGGTGAAAACACGTAGCTAACAGTGGTGACTATGTTGAAAAGTAGTGTTTGTTGAGAATTTGCTCTGTCACATAATATTATTATGCTCTTTATTGTAGTTTCCATGAAAATAAATAAAAGGCACTATTTTCGGTGCAGCCTACATGCATGTATGCATAAATATGTTTGCATAAATATGTGTGTGTGTGTGTGTGTGTGTGTGTGTTGCTGCTACTGAACATGTCACTGGCAAAATGCTGCTCGTGCTGAAGGCACCGGAAATTGGTCTCATCTTTCAGCAGGGCAAGGATTCTCTCACATTACACTGAGCATTAGCCTCCTGTATTTCCTGAAACAATGGATTTACACACAACATCATCACTTATGAGTAATGTGGTATTCCAAAGTTCAAACTAATAAAATCTTTATTGGCACACACCGCTGTACATGACTTTATGGCAAAGTCTATCTATCTTCCTTGACCTCAAACAAACCAAAACCAGTGGCACAGGCTGCCCAGGGAAGTGGTAGAGTCATGGTTTCTGGAGGTGCTGAAGAACTGTATGGATGTGGCACTGAGGAACGTCTGTGGCAACCATTTGTTTACCCCAGAGCCTAAAAGCAGGGCACTAAACCTGGGGTTCTGATGACAAATTTCAAAGCATGTCACCAATAAAAGACTTTTCTATTTTATATACAACTCATTCAGGAGAACACATTTAAATTTCTAGCCGGCATACACATCATCTAGCCCTATGGTTGCATGCGATAGCTTAACACATCCTTTTACTTGTTACAGTATATTCTTTGAAATGAGGGAAACAACTGAACATTGGTACTTCTGAGGACATTCTCTTTATAGGGGCAAGGAAAAAAAATTTAAAAAAAAATTAAAAAAAAATACTTGGAGCAGACTGCCCGTAGAACCTGTGGCCCATCTCTGGAGGTACTCAAGGCCAGGTTGGATGGGACCCTGGGAAACCTGAACTGGTGGAGGGCAGCTCTGCCCATGGCAGGGTTTGGGACTGGGTGGGCTTTGAGGTCCCTTCCAACCCAAACAATTCTGTGATTCTATGAGTTTATGATACTCTTTCATTCCTGAATCTCCAGATCTAGTCAGAATACTGCCCATGAGAGGAGAAGCTTAACCTTCAGGTGAAGGAAGTAGACAGTGTTCTCTCACATGCAAACCATACTGTAAATCACAAATGGAATTCATTCTAAAATCATAAGATCCATGTCTCTTCTTATGACTTTTCCTGCAAATGAAGAAAATCTTTCTGGAAAATACTGCTGCAAAAGTGTCAGTAACTGCTGTCCTAACTTCATGCTCAGGGAGGGTGGATTTAGGGTGGATATAAGGAAAAAATCTTTTACAGTGAGGATGGTGAGACAGGAACAGGTTATTACCTAGTGTTGTGGTCAATGTCTCACCGCTGGAGACTAATGAGGCTAGTCTGGATAAGGCTCTGGGCAACCTGTTCCTGTTCATTGTAGGGGAGTTGGAACAGGTGGCCTTCAGAGGTCCCTTCCAACTCTGAGGATTCTATGATACTATGATACTGTGATTCTATGATTCTATCATTCTGTGATTTGATGAAAAGAGCAGTGCTACACATCCTCTCCAGTTATCTGACTTGTGCCTTAGGATATCACAGTGAACTGAGCATTAGCTTCAATAATGTCAGTGGAAAAGAATTGTTTAGATCAAGACAGCATGACTCACAATTGCCATGTTCTCTAGTAACACTTCATAATGCCCATTTGACCAACAAACTGAGGGTTTTCAATTTGCCACAAGAGGGGAAAGAAGGCATTGGGTGGGAAGGTGCTAAAGCTCACAGATGTGATGGAAGAGCTCTTCTCATGGGAAACGTTTTTCACTGCTGCTGTTTGTTCTCCTTTTCCTTTTTCTTCTCCTCATTTCTTCTCCTTTTTTGTTTTCCCTCTCCTCTCCTCTCCTCTCCTCTCCTCTCCTCTCCTCTCCTCTCCTCTCCTCTCCTCTCCTCTCCTCTCCTCTCCTCTCCTCTCCTCTCCTC